TCCATGTTCTGCTCTCTTGGGGGGTGGGGGGGGGGGGTCTATCCACTCCTGTACTCACCAGCCTGAGCCCCACGGGGGGTGGGGGGGGGAGGAAAGGCAATGAGGAGCAGAAGCAGAAGCTGCATTGTCAGAGGCAGTCCACGGAAGGGGGTGGTGTGGCTGTCTCTGGGGTTATTTATAGACCTGGCTGGGAGGGGTTGCCCCCTCCCCTCCCCCAGGTGACAAGGGGCAAATCACAGCCCCTTTATCCTGCTGGGGAGGAGTTCACACGTGGGTGAGTCACTAGCCAGCTGCCCTGCAGAGCTAGCAGAGAGCAATCTGCTGGGCCTGTGCACATCTGGGCCCCTCCACCCCAAAGGGTGTGCACATCTGGGGCCCTGGAGTCCAGGCAATGTGCACATCTTGGGCCCTGCAGTCCCTGGGGCCTGTGCACATTTGGGGCCCTGTACCTCGCTAGGGCTGGGTACATCTGGGGCCCTGATGTCCCACTTACTCAGCATCTTGAGCTCTGGGGAGCAGCAGCAGCAGCACCATCAGGTCCCATGGGGGGGCCGCATCTGCCTGGGAGGTGTGCTAGAGGCCTGGCTGGGCAGTGGGAATACAAGGAAACCTCAAGGTCATGCGCTCTGGGGCTAGGTTTACCAGGCATCCAGTGTTCGACTGGAACGCCCAGTCGAAAAGGGACCCTGGCAGCTCCAGGCAGCAGAGCTGACCAGGCTGCTAAACATCTGGTTGGACGCAGCACCAGCGGGGTGGGCAGGCTCCGTACCCAGCTCTGAATGGCTCCCGGGAAGCAGCCGGAATGTCCCTCCAGCTCCTAGGCGGAGGGGCAGCCAGGGGGCTCCACGTACTGCCCCCACCCACAGGAACCACTCCGAGTGCCAGCTCCGCAGCTCCTATTGGCTGGAAAGTGAGCCCAATAGGAGCTGGGGGGTGGGTAGGAGCAGTGTGCAGAGCCTTCTGGCCCCTCCACCTAAAAGCCAGAGGGACATGCTGGCCGCTTCCCATGAGCCGCCTGAGGTCAGCACCGCCCAGAACCTGCACCCAAACCCCCTCCCACGCCCCAAACCCCTGCCCCAGTTTGGAACCTCCTCCCACACCCAGACTCCCTCACAGAGCCTGCACCGTGCACCTCCTTCTGCACCCCAACCTCCCTGCCCCAGCCCAAAGCCTGCACCCTGCACCTCCTCCTGCACCCTGAACACCTCATCTCTGGCCCCACCCCAGAACCAGCACTCCCATCTGGAGACTTCACCCCTTCCTGCAGCTCATCCCCCTGCCCCAGACCAGTGAAAATGAGTGAGTGAGGGTGGGTGGGAGAGAGTGAGTGAGGAAGGGAGGGGGAAGAAGTGAGCAGTGGTTGGGCCTCGGAGAAGGGCACGGGTGTTCGGTTTTCTGCAAGTAGAAAGTTGGCAACCCCATCTGGGGCATCAGAGAGGGACCTGCCATCTCAGCGCTTGGATCCCCCACCACACCAGCTGGGGGGCAGGGGAGTTGCCATCGGGGCCCCTCAGCCCATCAGTCCATTTTGGGGGGGCCATGGGCATTGCCGAATGCCGAGCTGTGCTCACCCTGGGCAGTGAGTGGGTAAGTGACATGTGGGGGGGCATGAAGAGTTGAGTTCCCCCCAACAACCAGCTGGGGTGGGGAGTGGAAGGGGAGGGGCCAGAGCATGAGGAGAAGGGGCGGGGCCAATGCCTGTTCCAGCCAAGCTGCCTGGTGCAGCGCAGCGGATGACCGTGACTGGGAGATCACCTGGCTGCAGCAGCAGTAGGCTGCCCCCAGCCCAGGGCGGCTTCCGGGACAGCGGCCAAGCAGGCCCAAGCCCCCCGCCCCAGCCCATGCCGGCATGCTCAGAGTGGGCGCCTGTCCCTGGAAGCAGGGCCTGGGCAGGGAGTGAGCTGCTGCTGCCCCCTCCCCGGTCAGGCTCTCTCTCAGGCTCTGCTGCGCTGCACGGGGCAGTATCCAGGAGAGGGTCGGTCCCGCTGGGGGTGGGGTGGGGGGGGGGAGATCAGGCCCAGCTGAATCACAGCCACCCCAGAGTTGAGGCCCCAGAGCCTTGCCCAGCTGGGGGCTGCCCGCTCTGAGGCCAGGTACTGCTGGGGCCACACCTTGTTGGGACCCCCCTGTGCCTCTGGCAGCTGTGCACCACTGGGTACCGAGTACATCTGGAGTGGAGCTGGGCAAGGTGGGGTGCTACTGTGGTGGGAGCTGTGGTTTGACTGAGACTCAACTCAGCTTCTGGGAGGAACCCGGCCCCTTGATCCTTCTCAACTGCTGTGGGGGTGTGACCGGGGTAGAGGAACCTGGGTCAAGGAGCTCAGGTCGGGCCAGTCTGTGACAGCACCGCTTCCCACAGACACCCGCATTGGGGGTGGGGACAGAGACAATGAAGCTGATTCTCAGCCCACCTGAACCAGCCAGTCTTGGATGGGAGCTGGTGCCCCCTAGAGGGGAAAGGCCCCATGTCCCATTCCCCACCTCCCTGAGCCAGTCCCCCACCCTGGGTCTGGTTGCAGCCAGCTCCCCCTAGAGGGGAAAGGCCCCATGTCCCATTCCCCACCTCCCTGAGCCAGTCCCCCACCCTGGGTCTGGTTGCAGCCAGCTCCCCCTTAGAGGGGAAAGGCCCCATGTCCCATTGCTTGTTCAGTGCTTCTGAAAATCTCCCCATGTCCCCCATGCTGGGTGCTGAGAGGAATTGAGCTCCAGCACTTGACAGGATGAGCTGGAGATGGTAAAGGGGGGTCAGGGTGTTAGGGGCCCAACAGCCACTGAAGGTCCATGGGATTTAGACACCTCACTCCTGAAAGTGGCATTGAACATCCCAGCCTGGCTGTGTGCAATAGCGGTGACCAGTTCGAAAGGCCACGGACGGAATTAAACACTGATGAAGGCTGGATGTCACTACACTCCATCAATGCCGGTAGCTAGAGGACAGAGTGAAATTAACAAGCAAACACGACGAAGTTGAAGGCACCAACAGGGCTGAGATACTAGAGCAATGGGTAACACTGTCAGGGGATGGATGGATGGGGAGAGAGTGAGGAACAGATGGCAGGATAGATTGATAGAAGGATGTGGATGGAGAGGGAGGGAAGGAGGGATGGATGGGGAGAGAGTGAGGAACAGATGGCAGGATAGATTGATAGAAGGATGTGGATGGAGAGGGAGGGGGTGGGATGGATGGGGAGAGAGTGAGGAACAGATGGCAGGATAGATTGATAGAAGGATGTGGATGGAGAGGGAGGGGGTGGGATG